AAATTACGAAGTGTATATTCTACAAAAGTTTCTAATTAATTAACCTTTTAAGGAAAGTGCGGTAGAAGACCTTAATGAAGAAGCTTTGAAGCCCAATTGCAATTTGTCAATTTCGTTTAGTTTGGAGACTGTTAATACTAGCACGTATTTTCTCAATCTGTTAGAGTTTTTTCCCACTTAATTATAGAATGCCATTTAAGTAGTAATTGAAATGAAAATTTTCTCAGTTTAGGAGAATATGATTCTATCTAGGCAAAAGGGAAACAAACAGATAAGTATAGGAATTTGGAATGGAACATTTATAGGGCAACTTCGGACTGGTTTACTGATCTAATACTAGTTTATTATTGAAGAGAAATTTTGTTGCTACACTTGGACTTTAGTATTACTTGTTCTTCTTGAACTCAAAAAGGTTTTGGTAGCCAAAAGTGTCAGCTTTCTCGGCGTTCACCCTTTGGCTTTCCATGGTCATACTCCACCAATTTTAGTCCTAAAGTTGTGTATCTTTGTGCTTGTCCTAACTTTGGTCTTATCTCTATGATCTTTTGCTCTTTTTCTGACACATGGTAAGAATGAAACGACAACTTGGCCTACCAATTTGGAGTGCAATTAATTTAGTTCAGTGCTTCACCTTTAAATAAAGGTTGGTTGATTTAGTAGTATGTAATATAACATTGGCTTCATTATCCAACAGTGATAGGCACCATTGCTATGAATGACTATACTGAAGCTGGCACCATTGTGTTCCTGTTCACCATTGCAGAATGGCTTGAGGCAAGGGCAAGTCATAAGGTCCGCGTCGTTGACCCGCTGACCCTTCCACTTTTGAAGTTTCAGGCTCAAACTATTTGGATTTTCATTAAAAAAGAAACAAATTCTGCACCCTTTAAAAACATGTTTCTACAAGTATGTTAACATGAAATCTTGAAACAAATGTATCAGGCTACTGCTGCAATGTCGTCATTGATGAGCATTGCCCCTCAAAAGGCCGTCATTGCTGAAACTGGAGAAGAAGTGGATGCTGATGATGTCGAATTGAATACTGTCCTTGCAGTCAAGGCGGGTGAAGTTGTCCCAATTGATGGAATTGTGGTAGATGGGAAATGTGAAGTTGATGAGAAAACTTTAACTGGAGAGTCATGCCCAGTTTCCAAACAAAAGGATTCAATTGTTTGGGCTGGCACAATTAATTTAAATGGTAGCATCTCTTGTTCTGTACTACATAAGGCTATTGGTTGTGCTACAAACTCATGGAACAATTACGAAGATTTTTGGTGCTAAGGATCCTTTTTCCTTGTAGGTTACATCAGGGTTAGAACTACTGCTGTAGCTGAAGATTGTGTGGTGGCTAAAATGGCCAAGTTAGTGGAAGAGGCTCAAAACAGCAAATCTAGAACTCAGAGATTCATAGACAAACGTGCTCAGTTCTACACCCCAGGTCTATAGTTTGCGCCTTTGTGGCTTTCAAATGCAATATAGGTTTTCATTTCCTTGGTAACAGAATTCATTTTATTTTTCTTTGTCACATTGCGCAGCTGTCATTCTTATATCAGCCAGCCTTGCTCTCATTCCAGTTGCATTAAGGTTGCATGATCGAAATCGCTGGTTTCACTTAGCCTTGGTAGTTTTGGTGAGTGCATGTCCTTGTGCGCTTATCCTCTCGACACCTGTTGCGACTTTCTGTGCACTAACACAGGCAGCAACATCAGGACTTCTAGTTAAAGGAGGCGACTATCTAGAAACTCTTTCTAAAGTTAAGATCACAGCTTTTGACAAGACTGGTACGATCACAAGGGGTGAATTTGTTGTGACTGATTTTCAATCCCTTTGTGAACATATAAGCTTGGACACATTGCTCTACTGGTATGCATTAACAACTGTTGTTCTTATCCAGCAACTGATATATATGTCTTTTTTCTTTTCTAGAAACTAATGTCTCAGTACTAAATGCTTAAGGGTTTCAAGCGCTGAGTGTAAATCAAGTCATCCAATGGCTGCTGCGCTGGTTGAGTATGGAAGGTTGCATTCCATAGAGCCAAAACCCGAAAATGTGGAGGATTATCAAAATTTCCCTGGTGAAGGTATATATGGAAAAGTTGAAGGGAAAGATGTGTACATTGGTAACAGAAAAATTGCACAGAGAGCTGGGGGAACAGGTGAAATAAGTTACCTCCATTCCCTTCAAATTATTGGGCACAAAGACATCTTAGGTTCATTGCATTTTGAGCAATATCTATTAAACGTTTTCATTGCTGTTCTAGCTTTAATGCTTCTGTATATATATGCAGTTCCAAATTTTGAAGGCAATTCAAAAGGAGGAGAGACTTTGGGATATGTATATCATGGAGTAATCCCTGTTGGAATTTTCAGTCTCTCTGATTCCTGTCGAACTGGGGTAGCAGAGGCAATGGGGGAGCTAAAATCAATGGGGATTAAAACTGCCATGCTGACTGGAGATAATAGAGCAGCAGCATTACATGTGCAGGAACAGGTGGACCTTCTAAACTTGAAATCATATATATACATAGTCCTGGAGCTTCTTGTCTGGTTTATTGCGGTAGGATAAAAGAAGTAACAATGTTTTATGTGCAGTTAAGGAATGCTTTAGATGTCATCCACGCGGAGCTTCTTCCTGAAGACAAGGCAGAAATTATCAAAGAGTTTAAGAAAGAAGCGCCAACTGCAATGATTGGAGATGGCATTAATGATGCACCAGCACTAGCTACAGCTGATATTGGTATCTCAATGGGAATTTCAGGTTCTGCTCTCGCGACAGAAACAGGACATGTGATTCTCATGTCAAATGACATTAGAAAAATACCAAAAGCTATCCAGCTCGCAAGAAGGGCTCATAAGAAAGTTATTGAGAATGTCATTTTGTCAATCAGTACAAAGACTGCAATTCTAGCTTTGGCATTTTCTGGTCATCCCCTTGTCTGGGCTGCCGTTCTTTGTGATGTTGGGACATGCTTACTTGTGATTCTTAATAGCATGCTTCTCTTGAGAAGAACTCACAAACATGAAGGCAAGTGCTGCAAATCTTCAGCTATGCCTCATTTCAATAAAAATAAATGCTTATCTAGTCATTACCACTCGTCTCACAATCAGAAGCATGCTCACCCATTGGAAAATAAAGTTCAAAAGGGATGTGAGGTTCCAAAGTGTTCTTCCCAAATATGTTCTTCAAGATGTCAGTCTAGCCCTTCTAATTTAAATTCATATGGGGATAAGTGGTGTGTGAACACAAGTAAGACACATACCATCAGCGTTCTCAAGGATGAATCTCATGAGGCAAAGCATTATGATCATGGTTGCTGTAACTCAGGAAGTCATGATATTGAGGCTATCGGTTGCTGTTCAGGGACTGACAGTTTGAGCCTGTGCCTGGATGATGAATGCACAAAATCGAATAGAAGGGAATCCATTTGTGTTGAAAGTGATGGAGTCCAACATGGCCATCACCATATTATTCCCCAAGAAGGACAGCAACTGACCAAAAACAGTCACCAGCACCACAAATGTTGTGGTGAAAACCATAGCAAGCATGTAGCAGCAGGAAACTTGGTAGAACACAGTTGTCTGCTTCAAGGTCATGACTCACACAAATGTGTAGCTGCAAATAGTTGTGTGAGCTTGGAGAAGAAGCAAATTAGTGGATGTTGCAAGAGCTACATGAAGGAATGCTGTGAGGCGAAGCAAGGACATTTTGGATCTGGCTTTGGGGGAGGCTTGACAGAGATTATTGTTACTGAATAGCTTAGCTAGCAACAAAAAGGCTGTATATGTCATTGACATGAATCAGAATGAAGATTGAAGAATTCAAGGATGCAGGGAATGAATCTCGATCCTGTCATTATAATGAAATATTTCTGTTTCTGAAACCTTTTGGTAGTGTGTCTAGCCTACATTTTGCACAAGAACTCAGGTCAAGAAGGCCTTGCATGAGAAGAAGAGAAGAAGACGTAGCCAAGGACAACTTGCCGGCAGTGCTGCATGATGCAGTAGCAGAATGTGCCGGCAAGTCATCCTTGGCTGCACCCCTTTTCATCTCTACCTCTTCATGAAAGGCTCCCTGACCAAGCAAATATCTATAAACTCCAACAATGGGAACTCGTGTTGCATACTTGCCTTGATAATTCTTTGACATATATAGGCTCACATTATGGGTTTGACTCTTCTGCCAACAAATTTGAAAATTTTCCTCTTTTGGCCAATGGATTTTTGGTTGAGCCAGCTGAAATTGTTGAATATTATCAGATGAGAATCGAATATAAACAAAGGAAAAAAGGAAAAAAAAAAAAATAAAGGAAGAAGTCAGGGCCATTGAATCTGATTGAGCTTTGTATGAAAATTCATAGTCTAACATAGAGAAGGCTGAGAAGGCCGT